TCCACTCAACAATCATTCTTCACCTTCTCCTTCGCCCTCTCCAGAATCCATACCAATTTCTTCAAAATCCTTTTCCAGTGCTGCCATATCTTCACGTGCTTCAGAAAATTCACCTTCCTCCATTCCTTCACCTACATACCAATGAACGAAAGCTCGCTTCGAGTACATCAGGTCAAATTTATGATCCAAGCGAGCCCAGGCTTCTGCGATGGCGGTTGTATTGGCAATCATGCAAACAGCACGCTGTACTTTAGCTAAATCGCCTCCAGGAACAACTGTAGGCGGTTGGTAATTAATACCAACTTTGAATCCTGTCGGACACCAGTCTACGAATTGAATTGTACGTTTCGTTTTAATTGTTCCAATTGCTGCATTCACATCCTTCGGAACAACATCTCCCCTATACAGCAAACAGCAGGCCATGTATTTTCCATGACGTGGATCGCATTTAACCATTTGATTTGCTGGTTCAAAGCAGGCGTTCGTAATTTCAGGTACTGAAAGTTGCTCATGGTACGCCTTCTCCGCTGAAATGACCGGAGCGTAGGTCATAAGGGGAAAATGAATCCGGGGATAAGGTACTAAATTCGTTTGAAAACCCGTTAAGTCTACGTTTACTGCGCCATCAAAACGTAATGACGCCGTCAGTGAAGAAACCATTTGACCTAACAGTCTATTTAAATTTGTGTACGTAGGTCTTTCAATGTCCAAGTTTCTTCTGCAAATATCGTAAATTGCTTCGTTATCTACCATGAAAGCAGCATCAGAATGCTCCAACGTTGTGTGTGTTACCAGAATTGAGTTGTATGGTTCAACAACAGCTGTTGAAATTTGTGGAGCTGGGTAAATTGCGAATTCCAATTTAGACTTTTTTCCGTAATCAACGGATAGCCGTTCCATTAGAAGGGATGTAAATCCTGAACCTGTACCACCGCCGAATGAATGGAAGATGAGAAATCCCTGAAGACCAGTGCATTGATCCGCCAATTTTCGAATGCGGTCTAATACTAGATCGACTATTTCTTTCCCTATTGTATAATGACCTCTCGCATAATTGTTGGCTGCGTCCTCCTTTCCACTGATAAGTTGTTCTGGATGGAACAATTGACGGTATGTTCCAGTTCGTACTTCGTCGACTACAGTGGGTTCTAAGTCCATGAACACTGCCCTGGGGACATGTTTACCAGCCCCTGTTTCATTGAAGAATGTGTTACAACTGTCGTCACCTCCTCCAACGGTTTTGTCTGAAGGCATTTGTCCATCAGGTTGGATACCGTGTTCCAAGCAATAAAGTTCCCAACAGGCGTTCCCTATTTGAACACCAGCTTGGCCACAATTGATCGAGATGCATTCACGCTAAAATTAATTAAGTAATTGTATCTTTTACAGATTTAATGAATGAATTTTTAACTCTTACCATTGTATGAGATTATGTTAAACCAACGAAGTAGAAATGAAATATAAATGATGAAATACAAAGTTTGTAAAACGAATCGTCTTCTTTATAATAAATAATATGTAAATTATCTTAGCAACACATTTCAATTGTTTATATAGTGTTCTTGAGTCAAATAAAATATTGAAATGCGAAATATGTAGTCGATGAATATGTTTATTTACATATAAGATTTGAAATTCTTCCATGTTGACTCTCAAATAACATTCGACCGTCCTTTTTGATCCCCCGTACAAATATATCATATTTATAATTAAATTACTTGCTGAATAGCATTCCTCTCAATAGCAATACGATATAAAATAAAACGGTTAGTTGACTACATCTCCTACATGTTAATAAGTCACGAATGGCTAAAAGTTACAAGATTGCTTCGTTTAGATTTCTACTAAAAATCAAACATCAAAATGAATAAAAGTTCTTTCTAAAAATCACCAACTACGAACAAGTAACTTCGTTCACACATTCTTTATATATAAATTAATTAGTTGCTAATTAAAAAATTAAAAGGAATACTCACCCCTAATTACCACCTTATTTGTGGTGAGTATTCCTTTTAATTTTTTAATTAATATTTACCACAGTCTCCTTCTATTTTTAATTAGTTGCTACTCAAAAAGTTGCTTGTTGCTTGTTTGCTAGTCTGAATTGATCTTATGATATTGATAATTTAAAAGTGTTTTTGTGTCTTAAAACTAAAGACACCTCGGTCACTACCCCCAAATTTCCCTCGGTCAACACCTACCCAAACAGTTAGTATGCAACTACAGGTATTCACTACACAATAGTCGTACCGATTATTTAAGGAAAAACCTACTTGTTTAATGTCATGATGTAGCTGTGTCACTGCGAAGGGATTTAAGTTGGTATCCTTCTTGGTATCAAGGGATTAATACCGCAGGTAGCAACGAAAAAGTCTTAACAACTATCCATATATCCATATTTTTAAATGGACCTTGTTGGAGCATATGTAATCCTCAAATGTAGCATCGTACTACAGATGGCGCTCACCACGCCATTTGTGGTATTTTCNATATACAAATGATTATTGATTATTACTATTTTAACGTATTTCTAGCTATTGTTAAGAACATAATTAATCAGGCAAAGTGGAACTTTTCTGTCATAAAGAATTAATTTGAAATAGGCTCCTCATTATTCCACACTTAGACTTAGAAAGTCGTTAATTAATCATAAACAGATATTGGCACCAATTAATCATCTAAATCGCTAATTGTTACCGAATTAAATGCTTTGTAACAGAATTTGACATTTATTAATTAATTTTCTATTTAGAACTCCGTAAGGGCGGTGCAACTAATTTAGTCTGTATTATCAGCGATTTCACGCTAAAAATTAATTCGTTCGCTTATGAATAGAATACCTATTTATACTGTAGACTGCAAATTAGATTATTAATTAGCAGGTGTATGTGTGTGCAAATGATTTTGTATTTAACAGGTCGGCTTGCTTGTGGAAAACGGATCTAAAGGCTATTTATCAACTTTTCTCGACACATCTCATGGTTACAGGTGCCAACAAATATAACAACTTGAGCTTGCTAAGGAAAACTTTATGTATGTACCTATCTCACCGCTCTGTTTCTTATTCACATCAATCACAAGCAGAAAAACATACCTGAAACAAGACAATCGTGTGAAGTACAACAACAACAACAACAACGCATTAGTGAAGAATAAATAGCATTCAACGGTAAAAATAATCCTTCATTAATAATGAAAAGTCACTAATTTACGACAATTCGATTATATACTCCATTTTGAAGTGAAACTTCTTTAACCCCATTGATAATAATTTTTCTCGGCTCCGAAGATAAACATCCATTCATTTTTAGTGGGGCAGAAATCTGGGGATGGGAAAAGAGAAAAGAAATCGAAAGTATTCAGGACAGATATATATATTAAATGGACACTAAAGCTAGATAAGAGTACTCCGAGATCCCTTCTTCAGGAAGAAACTAAATATGAAATACTGACCATAAAATATTCAAAAAGAGCCTTAAAGTGCGAAGAAAAAATATTAAATTCCGAAGGCAACGCAATACTAAAACAATGTGTAAAAGTTAAGGACAATATTTCGGTCTTGCAAAAGGAAGAAAAGAAAACCACAATGGAAGCTGGAAAATGAGAGAAATGTATGGAAGGAACTAGAAAACTTAACTAAAGATACATATTGATAAACAAAGAAGGAGAGAGAAAATGAGAAACCTGAAATTCGCTCAAGAGTACAAGATATTATGGAAAGAAGGAGAAAAAATACCTCCTTATTTGAAAGATGAAGGAGTAAAGGGAAAAAACGAGCTACAATTAACTGCAAGATTTAGATTGGGAAGTGAAAATAGAGCGTCAAGGTATTGGGAAGAAAAAGAAAAGAAATTAGTAGATTATGTGAAAAGGAGCCAGAGACGCTTGAACACATTTTTGAGCGTTGTAGGGAAACAGGCAATTCTAAAAAAAATTGGAAGGTATGGACAACCTGAAAAGGATGAGAGAAATCATGTGGAAAAGGAAAATAGCAGGACAAGAAAAATAATAAAATTGTACTTTGTGTATATATAAAACATACTGTGTTAACAAAGCTCATATAAAGGCTTTGATAAGCAAAAAGATGAGAAAAAAACTAGAAACATAAAATTCGCACAGGAATATTAGAAAATATGGACAGAAAANGGGTTCAAGAGGGTTACGCTGAACGAAAAGGATTCGTTACGGGTAGTTATATACAAATGTATTATTATTCGGGGTTAAAGATATTTTGGAAACATAAAGAGCTTTATTTGAAGCACGTGCAGACAGGGAATAAAAAAAGAATTTCTACCTATGTGTCCTATCGTCGAAGCAACATAAGTTGATGCAAATTATGAACAACATAAAGAACGAAAAACGCAAAACAAAAATAAGAAATTGTTAACTAAATTAATTTTACCCGCTTTGTGGAAATAGCAGTGGGGCATAATACAAAATTCTCAATTTGTCCTTAATTCATCAAATATATTTTTTGGCTACGTCTACTTCTTTCAAGGTTCTCTTGTAACTATTCTGTTAACTGAGCATGTAAATAAAAATTAATATATGTAAATTTTGAATGTTGCAAACAAATAAAACAGGGTAAACCAACTATTATGGACTGCTTCAAACTTCGCTCGCATGAGCCACAGCCATAAATTTAATACCTACGCCAAAGGATTCCAGAAAAGTTCGTGGATTGCAAGCTTAGCCAGTCCAATTTCTAACTAAATTACATTTTGAAACTGTAATTTCGTGGATAAAATAAATTCATCTTCTCTACAAATACTTCGCAGTTAGTAAGGTGAATACAACTGCGACGCATTATACCTGTATATAGAATATGCAAGCAAGAAAATTCTTCATTAAAATTATGAACAGACAAAAATCTAATACTTGTTACTAATATGATTTGCATTATGTACTATCAAAATATCAATACTCTGAAAACGAATCGAAACGAGAACGAATATTGCTGAATTGTTCTTCCTCAAAAATCCAATGCAGCTATTTCTAATTCAGAAAAAAGCGAGAAAATTCGATTTTGGGAATGTATATATTCAACAATTACACAGACAACATGGTGTTCTATCTTATTAAGTAAATACCTACAGTATGTAACGGTAACGTCATCAATATACCGTAATCAGACTAATCAGGCTTCTTCTCCCTCGCATTCACTCTTCTCCTCCCTCACCTTCTCCTTCTCCAGAATCCATTCCCACCTCTTCGAAATCCTTTTCCAAAGCTGCTATGTCTTCTCTAGCTTCCGAAAATTCACCTTCTTCCATACCTTCACCAACATACCAATGAACGAAAGCTCTTTTGGCATACATTAAATCAAATTTGTGGTTCAAACGAGCCCAAGCCTCAGCAATTGCTGTGGTATTCGCAAGCATACAAACAGCACGCTGAACTTTTGCCAAATCGCCACCAGGAACAACTGTAGGGGGCTGATAGTTTATTCCCACTTTAAATCCTGTGGGACACCAATCCACAAACTGAATTGTTCTTTTTGTTTTAATCGTTCCAATTGACGCACTCACGTCTTTTGGAACCACATCACCTCGGTATAGTAGACAACAAGCCATATATTTTCCATGACGTGGATCACATTTAACCATTTGGTTTGCCGGTTCGAAACAAGCATTTGTTATTTCCGGTACGGATAGCTGCTCGTGGTATGCCTTTTCGGCTGAAATTACAGGAGCATAGGTAATTAGTGGAAAATGGATGCGAGGGTAAGGAACGAGATTCGTTTGGAATCCCAATAAATCCACATTGAGTGCTCCATCAAAACGAAGTGAAGCTGNTTCTGTAGGGAATACTGTTTGGACTAGAAATTATTGGGTCTCATTTAAAATTACTTCTCAGGGATTTTTCAAATGAGAAATTTTCCTTAGAATCATAATAGTAGCTAGGTTACAATTTCCTGGTTAGTGAACTGCATATTCAAAAATACACTAATAATAAGTAATCAGATAATAGGTGCTGTTTTTTTCAGAAAAATGATGATTTAGAATACTTTTCCTTATATATACTTATAAAAAAAAGTAAATATAAAACTTTCAACCCTAAAAAAGTACATCCGTACTAGGTTTGGCCGCACCTCCAAGAGTGCTGCCCCAGGAAATCTCCCGGTCGCCCGGGTTGCTCAGGCTGCCCTGTCTGATTGAAACTATTTCTATAAATTTACTTTATGCGTTAGTGTACGCACAGGTTAATTAGGACAACATATAATTAATGGTCTTCTCTGCTGTGCCATGATGCTGAACAACATCGCATATTCAGCGCAATGTAATCATCTAAATATACATATATTACAGGCTATTGGTAAGTATACAACAATTGGTAGCCTGGAGAGAACTGATAATTCTAATCAAATTGCTGATTCAATGCCTTCACGTATTTATCCAATATTTCCTTCTATCTAAATATGAAGACTGGAAAAATTTTGGCGGTTGTTGTAGAACAAACAAAATAGCTCAAACCCGAACGCCAAAACACGACACTGTAGATGTCCGAAGCACTTTTCGATAACAAGGTTATCTTCTTCAAGGACTGAAATGACTGCAGTTCGTAACAGGGTAAAACAACTGTTATGGACTGCTTTAAACTTCACTCGCATGAGCCATAGCCTCAAATTTAATACCTACGTTAAAGAATTCCAGAAAAGTTCGTAGATTGCAAGCTTAGCCAGTCCAATTTCTAACTAAATTACATTTTGAAACTGTAATTTCGTGGATAAAATAAATTCATCTTCTCTACAAATACTTCGCAGTAAGGTTATTACAACTGTGGCGTATTGTACCAATATAAAACATGCAAGCAAGAAGATTCTCCATGAACATTATGAGCAGACAAAAACTAATACTTGTGACTAATACGAACAAAACTTTGTAAAAATATTGACATATTTCCTTACGTAACATAACAGCCCAATTTTCGAAAGTGTCAAATGATAGTCAAAAGTAACTCAAGTATTAAGCAACCAACTAACTAATTTGATAAAATTCACATAGGACACATTTGCATTAAGTACTATGCAAATATCAATACCCTGAAAACGAATCAAAATGAGAACGATTATTGCTAAATTGCTCCTCCTCAAAAATCCAATGCAGCTATTTCTAATTCAGAAAAAAGGGAGAAAATTCGATTTTGGGAATGTATATTTTCAACAATTACACAGACAGCATGGTGTTCTATCTTATTAAGTAAATACCTACAGTACGTAACGGTAACGTCATCAATATACCGTAATCAGACTAATCAGGCTTCCCCTTCCTCGCATTCACTCTTCTCCTCCTTCACCTTCTCCTTCTCCTGAATCCATTCCAACCTCTTCAAAATCCTTTTCCAAAGCTGCTATGTCTTCTCGTGCTTCCGAAAATTCACCTTCTTCCATACCTTCACCAACATACCAATGAACGAAAGCTCTTTTGGCATACATCAAATCAAACTTATGGTTTAGACGAGCCCAAGCCTCGGCTATTGCTGTCGTGTTCGATAACATACAAACGGCGCGTTGAACCTTTGCTAAATCGCCACCAGGAACTACAGTAGGAGGTTGATAATTTATTCCAACTTTAAATCCTGTCGGACACCAATCCACAAACTGAATTGTTCTCTTTGTTTTAATTGTTCCAATTGACGAACTCACATCTTTTGGAACCACGTCTCCTCTATAAATTAAACAGCAAGCCATGTATTTTCCATGACGTGGATCACATTTAACCATTTGGTTTGCCGGTTCGAAACAAGCATTTGTTATTTCCGGTACAGAAAGTTGCTCGTGGTAGGCTTTTTCAGCTGAAATAATAGGGGCGTATGTTATGAGTGGAAAGTGAATACGAGGGTAAGGAACGAGATTCGTTTGGAATCCCAATAAATCCACATTGAGTGCTCCATNTTGACGAAATTAAAATTGGCCAATTATTTGAAATGCCACGGCACATGCAAAAGAGAAGACAAAATTTTAAATATAATGCAAATTTTCAAACATCAATCTTCAGTGTTAGTCAAAAACCAACCTAGGTAGATTATAAAGCATGTTCTATATCATTAACTCTTTGTAATAGTAACAAATGTATAAACATGCATGTACTTATTTCGATAGAAATAAATGCCGAGAAAATGAGTTAACTACAAGTACTTAATAGATCTGCATATTTATTTAGTTACCCAGAACGTCGAAGTACATTTGATCTTATCTAATATCTATTGTTATTACATAGAATGGAATATAATATAATGGTAGCTTTCACTCTTCTCCTCCTTCACCTTCTCCTTCTCCAGAATCCATTCCGACCTCTTCGAAATCTTTCTCCAACGCTGCTATGTCTTCTCTAGCTTCCGAAAACTCGCCTTCTTCCATACCTTCACCAACATACCAATGAACGAAAGCTCTTTTGGCATACATTAAATCAAATTTGTGGTTTAGACGAGCCCAAGCTTCAGCAATTGCTGTGGTATTCGCAAGCATACAAACAGCACGCTGAACTTTTGCCAAATCGCCACCAGGAACAACTGTGGGGGGCTGATAATTTATTCCCACTTTAAATCCTGTGGGACACCAATCCACAAACTGAATTGTTCTCTTTGTTTTAATCGTTCCAATTGACGCATTCACGTCTTTTGGAACTACATCACCTCGGTACAGTAGACAACAGGCCATATATTTTCCATGACGTGGATCGCATTTAACCATTTGGTTCGCCGGTTCGAAACAAGCATTTGTTATTTCTGGTACGGATAGCTGCTCGTGGTATGCCTTTTCGGCTGAAATGACAGGAGCATAGGTAATTAGTGGAAAATGGATGCGAGGGTAAGGAACGAGATTCGTTTGGAATCCCAATAAATCCACATTGAGTGCTCCATCAAAACGAAGTGAAGCTGTTATTGAAGACACTATTTGACCGAGTAATCTGTTTAAATTTGTGTACGTTGGTCGTTCTATGTCTAAATTTCTTCGACAAATATCGTACAGTGCTTCGTTGTCAACCATAAAAGCCGCATCTGAGTGTTCCAATGTTGTGTGTGTAACTAAAATTGAGTTGTAAGGTTCCACAACAGCGGTAGAAATTTGTGGGGCTGGATAGATTGCAAATTCTAGTTTAGATTTCTTTCCGTAATCAACAGATAATCTCTCCATCAGGAGTGACGTAAATCCTGAACCAGTGCCACCTCCAAATGAATGAAATATAAGAAATCCTTGAAGTCCAGTACACTGGTCTGCTAACTTTCTAAGGCGATCTAGAACAAGATCAACTATTTCCTTTCCAATTAATAAGGAATACGAATGCGAATAGATTCAGTATGGCCTTCCCGCTACTTTATAGAAATTTCCAAAGTTCAACATCATAACTTCCGATTAGTTCTCCGCAACCTCTGTAATAAACTTGTGCATTATGATGTTATCATAACTTTCCTACAGTTGGGGAGACACCAGCACGCCAACAAAGTATGCTTAAGTACTTACCATTAATACATTTTCTTATTCAACTAACTCTGTTTGTTATTAGGGATATTCGAAGGAAATAAACTTATACTTGGTTGAATAATTATCTAAATTTTGACCCTATAACATTTTCGATTCATTTACGAATGAATTGAATCCCGCATTGTAATATAGATGGCGTTTACCGCGCCGTTTGCAAGATTCCACAAAACGCTGTGGCAAGGCAGCAATGAGAGTTGATCTGTGTTCTGTGGTAGCTGTTTGCAGCGTACTCATAAGATCCAACAAGATCGAAATCGCGATCCGCATCTGACAGTATCGACAGAATATTGACTTTTTTTTTGGAAATGTGTGTGGAAAGATGTGACATGCAGTTGCTATCGTACTTTGTATGGGAAATATTTAATTTGTCATTAGATTTATTTGAAATTTAGGCTTAACTCAGCTTATGAAGGGTTCAAGAGGGTTACGCTGAACGAAGAGGATTCGTTACGGGTAGTTATATACAAATGTATTATTATTCGGGGTTAAAGATATTTTGGAAACATAAAGAGCTTTATTTGAAGCACGTGCAGACAGGGAATAAAAAAAGAATTTCTACCTATGTGTCCTATCGTCGAAGTAACATAAGTTGATGCAAATTATGAACAACATAAAGAACGAAAAACGCAAAACAAAAATAAGAAATTGTTAACTAAATTAATTTTACCCGCTTTGTGGAAATAGCAGTGGGGCATAATACAAAATTCTCAATTTGTCCTTAANCATAATTTTGAACATATTGTATTGCAGTTTTAATACATATGTGATAAAAAACATCATCATACTGTAATTGATTATCATTTTAAGTCCGTAATTTAATAGCATGTTAAATACAATGAACTAACCAAGAAAACTAATTATTACCTACTATAACCTAGCTTAACCAAACTATTGGTAAGTGCTAATAACACCGAAGAACTTTTTTTTTGAAATTACTCCTACATAGTATAACTAAACATTAGCTGGTTACTCTAAGGTTATAGGCAGTGTAGAACAATCCAAAGAAATATTTTTTATTATTAAATCACTGTATTTAAGATCTCTTAGACTTGGAGGTATATATGTTTACGAACTTTGTGCAGGAGAAAAACAAGAAACCTTCAGAATGGTATATTAATCTCGTCTATTTCTAATTGAATGTATTTTCTTGAAAAAAAAGGATTAAAAATCCGAAAGAGATTGCTAAAGGTGTACATGAACGGTGGCCATGGCAGGAAAGGTTAGACACGTTCGAAATTTGAATGGTGAGGATACCGTGGATGAAGAAGGTTAGAAATGAGGAAGTATTAAATAGTTAATGCTGTGGGCTGTTTTAGTTTTAGGGAAATACGAAGATTAGCTAAGGATAGGAAAGAGTGGAGGTGCATGTCCAACCAGTCTTAGGACTGACGATGTTACGATGATGAGGAGAATAAAAAGCTCTATGGAAGTCAATAAGAAACAGGTGAGATAGGTTAGTAGGACACCTTCTCAAGCATGAAGGACTAGTTGGAGATTTATTAGAAGCAGATACAAGAGCTAAGAGGCGTAAAAGAAGACCTAGATTAGATTACTGTTCAAAAATAGTTAAATATGTGAAATGTTCTAAATTAGCTCAGAATAGGAAGGAGTGGGGGTGCGTGCCCAACCCAGTCTTCGAACTGACGACCTTTCGATGATGATGATATATTCTGTTGCTGTTGTGCTTTTGTCATTTTTTTAAACTTTTATACATATGTATAGTTCTCACAAGGATTGACATTTTTTTTAATTATTCTTAATACGAAATTTAATTTTTAATTTTCAATTCCACTACAAACTATCTCAAGTTAATGAGGGAAAAATTTGTTGCTGTTGTCACGCCCTT